AAAGTCTTAGGCGTCGTCTTCCAAAGGAAAGCTCAAAATACTGCTGACCTCAACCAGTGAGGCAAGCGATGTCAGCATTCTCTAGTCAATAGATTCTGGAACTCTTTAGTAGTTAGTAAAGGCTAGATGTTCTGGAAAAGTCTTTGGTAGGAAGCGAAACTAATCATTCCTAGCCAGGAAGATATTTAGAACCTTTAAAAATCTCACTTCTTTGGTAAAGATTAGTGAACTAAAATTGTTGACAGTGCTTCACAGGAAACTTGAAAAAGTAGCACAAGAGGCATTTTCTATTTCTTCCCATTTCTTTGGGAGCTAGCAGAGGTGTATGCCTTGCCATGTGCCAGTGGGGGTTGGAAGATGCAAATGACTTTATCTCTTCCTGATCACCCAGTCTTTGGTCACAAACTTCACTCAACTTTTCTTCCCAGAAGGCTAGCTACACCTAAAGTTACTTGCTTTGTCCTAGGAATTATTAACTGAATTAACAACAAAAAAAGTCCTACTTATAGAATATCTCAAAATATTATTGTCCTGGTGGAAAATATTCCTTTATATTTATGATTTGCCTGTATCTTTATAGCTACACCTCAAGTATAACCATATTGTGAGGTGAAAATCAGGAATCTTTCTTCAATGATACTAATTATTCAAAATATATGTAAATTTGGAGCTTGTTCATTTAAATGGGAGATTAATACTTTATAAAATTTTGCACTTTGAGCATATTACACAGCTGTGAGCTCTATTAAGTGGTACTTGGGCAGGAGAATACCATCCACACACTAAAATTTCAGATTCAGTTGTGCTGTGTCATGCAAAGTTATAGAATTTGAAAGAGCAAGCAGGTGCTTAAAGAATACATCTGGGTAAAAAAAAAAAAAAGGAAGAAGTGTTTGTTAACTGTATCACTTTGGTGCCTTATTCATGTTTATGCAAATGAAATGCTCTAATTACCCTGTAAGAAAAGCAGATAAATGAAAACACGACAGTGTAATCTTCCTGTTTAGTTCAATATTGCAAAAACATGGCAGGAACTATCAACATCTACCACCAAACAGACTGGTACTTACTCCCTCAGATTTTCTGTCTGGATAAATGCACGTTTCACCACCAGATGTGAAATTACAGTACACTTTGAAGGAATCTCCTGAGCAACCTTGGTTAGGATCAATCCAATATTCACCTAGAAGTTAAGAAAAAGTATCTCATATACAAATTATACAAATTCAGTAGTTTCAAATTGACCTGCATTAGATATCAAATTTCAATAGAAAGAACTAGGAAAAAATGAGTATTTATAGATACCGCTCCAATATGTTTTGGCCTATGCTAATGTAGATCTGAATAGTTCAGAGTTGCCTTATGTCTTTTCTGCTTCAAATCTTTGTAAATGGTTTACACACTTTTCTGGAAAAAATGTTTTTATTCTTAGCATTTTTATCATGTTTAGACTTCAGTTTAATAAATACCTCTTCAAATATGAACATTATGCTTATCCATGCACAATAAAACTCTATTCCAATTTGAATCAGGTGCACTTGAGTCCAAATCTCATATGTGTGACTGAATTTTATTAATCTGAGTGTCATAATCAACATATATGACTGTGTGACAATGACAGTGATATAATCTACTTGCCAGATCTTTGTTTATTTAAAAGCAAAACAACTTGTAGTAAATTCAGTTTCTCTTTGAATGTTGTCCTAAGAGGAACTGCTTTCTGCTTTTAAAGCAATTATTGAACTATTGTAGAAGAAACTTTATAATGGCAATAACAACCATTATTTGGTGTTAAGTAGGTAGAGACGGTCAGTAATGAGAGTAACACAGTTAGAATCGTGCTGCTCCATGTCAAATAATGCCCTGGATTACGCCAGTCTATTAACTATAACCTGAATATCATTTTGTGTGTGAGGTGTATGTCTGGGCTCGTAGTGTGTGTACTGAAAAGGTGGAGGTGATGTCTTTCAGAATAAAGTAAAAGACTCAAAATTAGATAAATACTCTTGTTAGTTTAAATTGGATGACTTAACCAACTATGTTATCATATCTAAAACTGTGACCTCCTCAGAAAAGTATACATATATTGAGATTTTAACAATCAGTACCCATAATAAACAATTATTACTATTAAGTGACTGTTTGTAGTTGTTCTGGTTATTTGTGCATCAATGAAAAATAAAGTTTTCCTCACCTGATTCTTAAATACGGTGCTCACTAAACTCATGGATCAAATATTCAACTGTGATGCCGTATATTATATATATGCATATATATAATTCATATAATTGTGAAGTATTTATCTTACATATCTGTATCAATACTAATGTAAGAATTTTGACATAATATTACTCATATTAAGTAATAAATGTAGAGTAACATGCATACATGTGGACATATAATACTATTTTATTTGTAATTTACAATGCTAAATATATCTGTGGTAGTGACAATTATCCAAAACTAATCTTTTCAAAATTTAGTGAAACCCTATTTAACATCAAAGTATTTTTCACAGAATTTCTTGAATTGCACAATGTAAATAACTTTTTCTCCACTAGACTAGAATTAATAGCTGTTTGCTTTAGTTTTATTTAGAGAATATATTAATTACATTAGCTAAAATTAATGAGCTGACATGGCACTTCTGTGACTTAGCAGCTCAGTGTGCTTGTTTGGTCATGTATTATTAACATACCATCTGGGAAGTCAGGATGGCTGAGCTGCAGGTCTTTGCAAGTTCGAGCTGGATTGGTCTGAGTACCCATTGGAAACTTCATATGTTCAATGTCTTGTTTCAGGGAGTTGAGAGAACCAAAAATTTCCTCCATGCCATCTGAGTAATCCAGAATATTGTCAACTATGTCGGCTTGCATGTTTTCAGCATGTCTTCTTGTTTTCTTAGGTGACAAGATTGGTAAAGGTTGGATGACTTCACCAGGGGGACCCTGTAAGGGAGTTAATGTGAGTGTTATTATTGATTCAAAGAAAATACTATGTCATTTTATTTAGTACTGGTTCTGTTCTTTTTAGAAATTATTTTAGTTTTAGTTTTCCAATATCTATATAATAAATAATATATTGACAGTTTATTATACACATATGCTATATATAATTTATAGTAAATATATTAAAATAGGTGTATGAATGAGATCATGGCTAGTACATTATTTGTACATCAATAGCACAGATTTCTGCTGACATGTTATATAGGTTACCCTGTTATTTCCTAATTACTCTTGCTTTATGTGTCTTATCTTTACAACTAGATCTTAGAGTCAGAGGATTGGAACACTATCTCAAAGCTCTGACAGTATTTAAATAGCTGCCTTTTTATTTAATAAAATATATATCTTGAAGGATTTAAAAATATGCTCACATTAACATATTTCAATATATATAGTATATCTTCAAAAAGTACTCCTGAAGTCAATACAATTTGCCTGTATGAAAGAATAGAACCACACTGAACACTGAATCCATTCGGTCACAGATTAAACTCTGCCCCATAGAGACATGTATGTTGAATTCTTAACACCCAGAGCTGTACCTAAGAACGCAACCTTATTTAGAAATACGATTACTGAAGATATAATTGGTTAGGATGATATACTGGAGTCTACCATAATAGAATGTGACTGGGATTCTTATGAAAAGAGAAAAGTATGGCTTTGGAAACACACATGAGGGTAAGATTTGAGGCGACAATGGGAGAAAATGGTCGTATATAAACTGAGAAGTTCAGAACAGGTGTTTCCCTACAGCCCTATAGACACCAATACTGTGACACCTCCATCTGGGATCCTTGGTCTCCAGACTGAGAGTCCATTAGTACTTTAATTTGGTACCCTGACTAAACCAATACACATTTAGCTGGTAATATTCTTCCTAAAACTAAACAAAACAGAATGAAACAAAACACAGCACATGAACAAAAACTATAATAACATTTTGTAGGCACATTTTCACATTTTAATTCTAACACTTTGGAAAATGTTTATTTAATTATTATTTCTGGTAAGGCTATCAATATACGCATTAGGGAAAAATTGACTACCATCTGAATTTGTATCTTTATTTCTAGAGCCAGGTATAAATAGATCTTTGTGGCATATATTCTGTTTGTTTCCTTACCATGTAACCAAAATGCATATTATCTTGAAAAACATAAGATTATTATAGTAAACAATTAAGAAATATTTATATTTAAAGAGTGAAATCAAACCAATTAAAAGATAAATCTTGACCAGTAGGTTTGATTACTTGACATAGTTTAATTTTTCCCCATAAAATCAGTATTTTGGACAGAATGTGTTTTTTCCTTTTCATCATATAAATCCAGAGAAAGTACTGCCAGTGTCTTTATGCCCATTACTGCTACGTCACTCTTGTTAGCATGTACTTACTGGAGGTCCAGGAGGCCCAGGAAGACCACTGTCACCTTTCTGGCCAGCAGGACCCTGTTGGAAAGAGAAAAGAACAAGACATGAAGAGAGAAGGCGATGTAATAGCTTTATTGAAAACTTATCAATGAGAAAAGTACTTACAGAAGAGCCTTTGTTACCCTTAGGGCCTTGAGGACCCTAGAAAAGACAAAGACAAAAGCACAGATAAAAATCTGGACCATACGATGCTATGGCATACTTGTGTTTGACCTAGCATGCTTCTTTCTTCTTGTACTTACTGGTAATCCTGGGTTACCAGGTGGGCCTATGGGACCAGCAGGACCTGGGATTCCCTAGGAAAAGAAGCACAAAGTTTAATGAGATTTTCAGTTTATTTCATTCTCATGTTTTCCACACACATTACAAAACTGATAATTTGAAAATATTTAAGGATAACCTAAGAATTTCTCATTGTGAATCAGAGAAATTGTTTGCAAATTAATTTGAACATTTTTAGCATCCACTGCTATAGAAACCCTTCGTGTCACATCTACAGCATGAAAGCAAGACACACATACATTTTTGTGTCCCAGAAGCTCTCAGAATAAGGTGTGCATATGATAAAGATTCAAGTTTGTGCAGACATGTACTGAAATGTATGTTTAAGGATTGTAACTTAAATACTGTTGTTAATTTATTAAAATAAGCTTTTTGAAAACAGCCTGGGCTAATATAGAGTAGAATAGGACATCCCAAAGAACTCTGTTGATCATGATGAAAAGAATATATGCGAGCCTGTTTCTGAGTGTGTGCTTTTGGGATGGAGTGGGAGGGCTGTCTGCCCTGCACTCACCCCATCTCCCTTTGCTCCTGGAGAGCCTTGAGTCCCAGGCAATCCTCTGTCCCCCTTTTCCCCTTGTTCTCCTGGAGGGCCAATGAGACCAATTAAACCAGGATGTCCCTGTGGAAGAGAGAGCAAACAAACTTCAGTAATATAAAATTATAGCCATAATTAAATTCTATCCATAAAATATTTGTATTTTAAATTCAAGAAACATAAAAATAAATGATGGAGGGATTCCAATATCCCTTCTGTATGGAATGTCGAATTCAGATCTTCCCTCTTCCTACTTAAGTAAGTAGGTCGTTTTACACCTACAGGCTGAGCAGCTGTTATTAAGATTTGGGAACATTATAGAACAAAGAACTTTCTATGAAAAATAACTTTAGTGTTTCCTTTCAGTATCTTTCATCTTAATAAGCCAATAATGTCAAATGGAGTATTGGTGGCAGAAAAACCCTAGAACTCATTATTTTAATAAGCATCTCATTTACAATGACATTTTTCATTCTTTGGGGGACATTTTAGTCTTTAAAAACTTCTGGAGATTTAAAAGCAATCCAAACCACATTAATTCCACTATATAAATGGTTCATTTTCCTTACTTGGTATAACACAGCATAAATTCTTGGGGGTCATATTATCATATTACTTCCAAAAATATTTATGGTTTAAAAACGACATTCATTTTTAAAAGCATAAAAATGGTCATTTTGCTAATTAGTCTATTTTTTGGTAGTTATTTTATATCATGTATACTTTCTTCATATGTATTACAAAATGAACATTAAGAAGATAGAACATACGGTCTGGTACTATTTTCATTGTTATTTCCATATTTTTTCTTCTTTAAACACATTTGGGGATCTGAGAACTGTTATCTTTCCCTATGGTCAGAACGACAGTGATAGAGTTTGAAAATACCTATGTGACTTTGAGAAAGCCATGACTTCTGCTGTTAATATAATGAAATTGCAACAACACATTCCTTTACTCTCACCTTTTCACCCTTGGAGCCAGGGTCACCTTTGAGACCAGGTAATCCAGGAGGTCCCTAAATAATAATAAAAAATATGGAGAGAGTGAGTGTTATGGTCTGAATGTGACACATCTTCTACAACGTGATATGTTTGAATGCTTAGTCACCAGGCAGCATTGTTTTGGAAGGCTGTAGAATGTTTTGAACATGGGGCCTTGCTGGCAGACATAGGCTTTTAGGCATGGGGCTAGAGATTGTAGATGGCCAGGTTCTTGCCTTAGGTATCTTCTTTCTGGTCAGCTGCCCTGATGTGAACAGTCTCCCAGTTCCATCTTCAGGGACAGAGACTTCTGTTTGCCATACCTTCTTTGTTATGAGCCTGTGAGCCACAATAAAAGCTTCTGGGGGCTGGAGAGGTGGCTTAGTTGTTCAGAGCACTGGTTGCTCTTACACCAGACCCAGGCTGGGTTCCCAACACCCACATGGTAACTAACAACTGTCCGTAAATCCAGTTACAGGTTACAGGGGATCTGACACTCTCTTCTGGCCTCCACAGGCATTGCACATATGTGTTGCACCTACAAACGTGCAGGTAAGCACTCATATACATAAAACACAAATACATTAATTAAAAATAAATACAGATTTCCAAGTTGCTTGTGTCAGGTAATTAGATGTGGTGTTCAGAAAACTAATGCAATGGCTATTTGATTAAAAATTCATATTTTAGGGGCTGAATAGATGGCTCAGTAGTTAATAGCACCTGCTGCTCTTCCAGAGGAGCCAGTTTCAGTTCCCAGCATCCACATAGCTCACAATCGTTTTGGAACTCCAGTTCAAAGGGATCTGATGATGTCTTCTCCTGGCCTCCGTGGGCACTGAACACACATGGTATACAAGCAAACATGCAGGCAATACATAGAATAAGTATAAATAAACCTTTGATCTTCTGAAAACAAGGGACTCTAGATAGGCTGACTAGATTCAGTGGATGGACTTTCATTGGGGAATGGTTGGGTGCACTGACAACACAGTGAACAGTAACAGGAATGACAGCACATATGGGCTCCAGTGAGGAGGGAGGCTATGAGATGGTGCCACTTAGGATGCGGGTATAAAGATGAATAAGATTGTTTGGGATGTTCTGTATGAAATAAACAAAAATATTCAATAAAAAATCCATACTTCTAGATGCAGAACTAGTTTTATTTTTAAAAGCAGAGTTCAATAAGGGTTAATAATGATCAATGTTAACATATTTTTTCAAGATTCTATATAAATTTATGTGTTTAAAATATCAAGGTTTAACAGTTAATTATAATATTAGTAATCTTGATGAAATAAATGTGATGTTAGTAAAAAGACATAAGATAGATAGATAGGTAGATAGATAGATAGATAGATAGATAGATAGATAGATAGATAGATAAGGAAAATATAAATTTTTCAATTGTAATAATTTAAAAAGAAAAGATTTCCAAATCATACACCCAATCAAATATTTCTATGCTAAATTCTAATTTTAAAGGTTATAATATTTTCAGTGAAACTTTAAAAAATTCTCTAACTTCTAATAGTCAAATAATTTTTAAAATCTACAGGAAAAATTTAGATAAACATTTAAAAATATTTTTTGTTTGTGTTCAAGTAGCACTATGTTGGTAAGATATGGAATAATTCCTTAACACTGTACTGAATGAAAAGATAACTTCTGTACACACTAACCTGAAATTGAGGCTCTATAGTTATGTGAGGCTCTGGCTAATTTTCTGAATTCTGATCTCAATTTTTATTTATTTTCTCTTGAAGGTAGTAGACATTATCTCACTATAATCGCTGGAAATATATACTCAATTCTTAATAGTCCCAATAAAATTTAAGTATTATTTATACATTTTTAACATACACAACAATCTAATGAAGTAGCTTTTTGTATCCTGTTAACATGTTAGAAACTGAGTTTTAGAATTTACAGTACTTCTTCTTTGTCTTAATAATTTATTGTAATTAAAATGTTTCAAAACCAAGGACAATGGAAAGATCATGGACACTGATTGGGTTGGACGATCACAAGAACTAATTTACAATTAGGGTTCCAGATGACAAAGTCAACAGGTCTGGCAGCTTCAGGCCTGCTGTAGATTTTCATGGATTCTTAAGAACTGACAGCTTTAGAAATGATCAAATGTAACAAATTCCTTGTATTAACAAAGAAACAGTCAGCAAACGTCTTAACTAATTTTGTTAGTTAACAGAGCCTGATGAAAAAAATACAAGGACTTGACGTCAACTCTGAAAACTTGATCCAATGTGCTTGCCATGAAAATCATTATTTTCTTCTTCCATCACAGAGAAAAAATATATATCAAAAAGCTGGGGTTTTGCCGACCGTGATTAGTAATAATCAGATATACAGAGATTAGAAACGCATATGCATCTTAAGTGTCAATTGTATTAAAAATGATTTTTTTCTTTATGAAACTGTGTATTTTAATAATGAAATGGAGATCTTTTTCAAACATTAAAACCATTTAATTTTATGTCTTATAGAGTTTATAATGAGTAAAAGATTGTGTAAGTGTAATAATCCATCTGTAAACCTAAAAATGTATAGCCAATTTTGAAAGAGATGTACCCTAGCTCAGAAAAATGTTATTGAATAGGTTAATGCTGTTGCAATGAAATGCTTCTTCTAATTAAAAAAAAAAAAAGGGGATATGGGCTTGGGGGGGGGGTTCAACAGTT